CGTTCCGTGGTCGTCCTTTTGCACATGCCTGGGGTACAGGGTCGTTATTAATGGCGGACCGGCGCGTATCGCTCGCACTGTGTCCAGCGTTGGTAGTCGGTTGCTAGGGGCAACTTCACCGAGAAGAGCAGATGACCAAACTCTTCCCCTTCCTATGGCTCTGGACTGGGCACGTAGCAGAACTTTTACCAGGCGGGGGATCTACGCTTATTGGCACCCCTTCGCCCGACAGTGCACAGGCAGCCGCCGGGGACGTTAGTTAATGAATGGCTCATTCGAAATAGACATGCGCATTCATTGAGCCATCGAATCACAGACGCCCACGTCTCTCTTTTTCTTTAGGGTGGCTTCTCGCTCTGCTCTTTATTATGATCGCGTTGTTTACGTGTCCAACAGTTTTCTCCTAAGCCAGCGCGGTGGAGTTTGTTGCCGAGATCCGTCGCCATGAATGAGCAAGGGCGAGGCTCCCTGCTCCGCTCTGTACAGTGAGTCCGATGCCCTCCGTGCAGCGATGTTTTTCTTTCTTCTTCTTTTTTTTTCGCCACGCAAGTTTGGCGGCACTCTGTTCAGTGTAAATTCCTTTCCAATTGGTATTAAAGTTGTGTTTCTTATGCGAACTCGAATGAACGGGTTTTCTGTAAAACATAATTCTGAAGAAGAAAGACAATGAATGGATTCGAAGATGTCCGAAATCTTGAGCATGGCTATAAGGGAAGCCATAATTAATGTTCACTGGTTGTTTTGTCCCTATAATTCTTTGTAAATGATTTGCCTCTGATTTGCCTCTAGTGATTAAAAAAAGTGAATTTATGGCAGACTTGTTTCAACTAATAAATAAAAACGTTGCCCTTGCGTTCTGACGACTTTATTGAGAAGTGACACAGCTGTTTACACCATACACGTGTTCATGTTTTCACCGCGCCAGTGACGAACCGCGAATTTACGCCCGCGAGGTTACTTGACGTTCACGCGCATATTTACATGATAAAGTTCTAAAATTTCGCGATTTTCGACGGTAAACGACACCTTTACAGCGTTTGGAAAAAGAATTGGCAGTGCTCTGTATCCCTTTAATTTTCTGCGTGTTCATGTGTAGCAGAGACTTTTTTTAATTAAACAACCGCAAGTGACGCCGGTATTACGCGTCCATTTTTTTTTTTTGGGGGGGGGGGGGGGAACAGATTTTGATACTTACGAGAAACTTCTTTTTCTCCACTGCCTCTTCTTGGTACTTGGTCCAAACAAGCGTAAAAACGCAATGTCGGTGTGTGTTATTGTCCCGAAATAGTTAATACTGTGTTGGATTAACTGCTTTGCGTTTCATGGCGGGTCGCGACTATGTATCAAGTACGAGCGACGTCAACTTTTTTAGGGGTGAAGCTCCTTAGGGGCTACCCATGTCCGTATGTCCGTTCGATGTCCGGCTTCGGGTGCTCGTGCTCACGAGCACGTGGGCACGTGCTCCCGTGCTCGTGTAGGACAAAAAAAAAACAAAAAGAAAACGCATCTTCACGTGATGAATGATTTTGATTGAGGCGAAGCCCTGGTGGTGCTTGTCTGCGTAGACGGTGAGCCGCAGCATGCCAAGCCTTTCGTTCGTTTTCATCCAAGTCAGAAAGGGAATGTGTGGTATGGAATGTGGTTATATACGCATTTGAGCATTTGACCGCAGCGTGACATGGATGTTCTCGTTCAAAACATTCACGCTCACTTATAATATAAGCTCGAATAACGGTGCACAATGAGCGTATTTTCTACAACGAAATGCAGAACCGCCACTTCCGTGCTTTAAGAGCAAGAATCTCTAAGTTTACGGACCAAGGCATCCAGTCTATGTGCTCAATAATGGCGGCGCGAAGCCGCTGCAATGAGGCGATCGCCCCGATAGAGAGGACAAAACTGCATGAAGAGGAGGAATTGTCCAACTTTCAGTATCAGGGGACCTTACGTTAAACATCATGCTGAAGCCAACAACATCGCCTTGTGCTGTTTTCTTCTTGGTGTTATTTTCGGCGGATTTAAAGGAGCGATGCAACAATTTTTCTACTTTGCGCAAATACCGCTTAAAACGGATCCCTAACGTTAACGACCTATGAAACACGCGTTCGTTTTTCACCCCACGCAATAGAAGTCCCAGAAAAAAAATTAAAGAAAAACGAGCAGCGTTCACCCCCTCAACTCGCAGCCAGGACAAGCGGCCACGTGATCTGGAGCCGATTATATGCCGCCAATGTTGATCATAGCCACGCGCTGGGGTTGGCAAAGGGCAGGACACGCGCTGAGTTCCAGACATTGTTATGGCTCGGCTGTAGTCGTCGTTGCAGCGATTGGACACGGGTCACAACCCGAACGCTTCTCGAGCTAGCAATTGTCACGAGCCCAAGTCGAGTGCCCACGCAATGCTCGGGTCCAATCTATGAACCGCATTCAAATATCGTCACTTGGGTGTACTGCGATCCCCGAGTTACGTCATCAAATTTCGCAAAGGAGAGATTGAATGAAAATGATCGCTTTTGTCCTTGAAATTACACCGCAACAAAGGAGTTTCTTGGCCAATGGCGTTGCGTGTGAGTATCCTTGAGTCCCAGGTGTGCCAGTAAGCTCGTGTAGAAAGAAAAACATTCCAATGGAATATCGTTGCACAGCTCCTTTAAGGCCGGTTCACACATACAGCGGAGCGCTTAGTTACCGCTTCTTGAGCGCTGCAAGCAGCGCTCATGTGGCACTGACTTGCGCCTAACGTAGCACTCGGTTAGCGCTTCAGAAGCGCTCCAGTAGGCGCTCTGTTAGCGCTCCAGTAGGCGCTCTGTTAGCGCTCCAGAAGCGCTTCAGTAGGTGCTTGGTTAACGCTTCAGCAGCGCAGTCTGACCCCTCTCACGCTCCTTGTGCCGTGCTTGCTGCTGCGGAACAGCGCGTGCATGGCGATTCCGTTGTTCTTGTTTTTCCTTTGGCATTGAAAGAAGAGCAGTAAAAGAGCCGCTCTCCAAGCAAAGGATCGGGCAGACGATTCAAGGCCGGTTCACACATACAGCGGAGCGCTAAGTTAGCGCTACGTGAGTGCTCGAAGGAGGGCTCATCTGGCGCTTCCTGGCGCGTGATGTAGCGCTCTGTTAGCGCTTCAGAAGCGCTTTGTTAGCGCTCTGTTAGCGCTACAGAAGCGCTCTGTTAGTGCTCTCACGCCCCTTGTGCCGTGCTTGCTGCTGCGGAATAGCGCGCGCACGGCGATTCCTTGGTTGTTGTTTTTCCTTTGGCATTGAAAGAAGAGGAAGTAAAAAAGCCGCTCTCTCAGCGGAGGGTCGAGCAGGCGACCCAGAGTTATGGACTCTGAGCGACTAATTGATTGGGTACGACCTCATAGCTTTCAATTTGATATGTGTGACGCTGGTTTCAAGGACACGCAAGTAAAAATATTCGCCTTCGAAAGAACTCTGTGTCTCGGTCCCTCAGCCTGGGAACAAGGTTCGCCGGGTACCCGTCGGTATCTCGGTGGCTATTCGCGCACCCAGAAGGCTCTTCTGATAGTTAAGCCGTCTACACAGATACGCACTAAGCGCGTATGTAAGATCATTTGTCGCATTTCTATTTCAGCATCCCACATGTCCGCCATGGTGCTGCTGATGCACACCCAACCACAGGAACCGAAACCGCAGTGCACCTGCTAATCCGCAGCCACCGTGGTACAAGAAGCGCTAATGACGCTCTAATGGTACGTTTTCACCTGAGAACAAATCCGCTGCCGTGGGAGCGGATCCGCTCCTGGCGGCGGCGGCGACGAGCGGGTTGCGTTTACATCTATTTCCTTCGAGCGGCGGCGGCGGCGCCGGCTGCGGCAGCTGTTCTCGTAACATCCCGCCAAATATGACGAGGAGGCGCGAGAGTTCCCACCTCGACTGTCTCCCGACCAATCCCGGGCGTTGCAGCACCCGGAAGAACGACTACTCATGACGTAGGCAGCGTCGCGCCGCGCAAGAATGTCACTTCCGGAGAGCGAAACTCCTCGTTCGGCGGCAGAAATAGGTCCTGGACCTAAACGGCTCGCCGCCGCGTTTTCCGCCCAGCGTTTCGCCCCAGCGGCAAAAGCTGGGCGGATTCGCTGGCGGATCCGCAAGTGTAAACGTACCATAACACGGCGGTACTAAAGCGCTAACCACGCGCTATATTAGAACGAAGACACGCGCTGGAAGCGCCACATGCGCTCTCCTTGGAGCGCTCACGTAGCGCTAACTTGGCGCTCTGCTGTATGTGTGAACAGGCCTTCAGAGTCATGGACTCTGAGCGACTTATTGATTGGGTATGACCTCACCGCTTTATATTCGATACGCGTGAACCTGGTTTCAAAGACACGCAGTTAAAATATAATCACCTTTGAAAGAACTCCGTGTTTTAGTCCCTCAGCCTGGGAACAAGGTTCGCCAGGCACCCGTTGGTATCTCGGTGGCGAACGATTTCGCACACCCAGAAGGCTCTTCTCGGCGTTAAGTCGTCCACACAGACACGCACGAATTGCGTATGTAAGAGCATTCGTCGCGTTTATATTTCAGCGTCCCGCATGTCCGCCATGGTACTGTTGATGCACACCCAACCACAGGAACCGGAACCACAGTGCACGCGCTAATCCGCAGCATCACGGTAGAAGAAGCGCTAACAAGGCGCTACTAAAACGCTAACGAGGCGCCACAGAAGCGCTCATTGCGCGCTATATTAGAACAAAGTCACGCGGTAGGAAGCGCCCCATGAGCGCTCTTTGGAGCGCTCACATAGGGCTAACTTAGAGCTCCGCTGTATGTGTGAACAGGCCTTTCTTCTTCTTAAACCAACACTACACACTTCATTTTATTTTTTTTTTGGGGGGGGGGGGGGATCAAATTGGCTTTGTCACTGGCCGACTAATCATCGAGATATTGGTGCAAAATCGAATGCTCGAAACACATTCTGTGAGCAAGTGGACAGAAAACAGAAGGTGTTCGCTGACCTCGGTTACTTTAAAACTTGGCGCTCACCTTGTAGTTCCGCTTGTGCAGCTTAGCCTCAAGCTTGGTCTTATCCCTCTGGTAGTAGACACCGGCAAAGATGAGCACGTTGAGGATGAGCAGCGAGCAGCCCACGGCGATCGTGACGCTCAGCGCAGTCGAGTAGCCGCCGTACTGGAGCAGCACCATCATCGAGTCGGACAGGTTCAGCGGGTTCGAGGTCGGGGTCGCCTCGAGGCCCGGGGCCGCGCCGGGGGGCCAGGACGTCGGGGAGGACATGCTGTCGTTGCCCTATGACGCGCACAAACTCGTTGGCAACAGACCGCACTCTGAAAATGTCTTTACCATGCTCATCCTAATACTTATAATCGACAATGCAGATTTCAGCGTAAACAGATCACTACTGCAAAGTTCAACCGCTTACTGAGAAGACAAATATTTTTTTCACACTAATATAACGTGCCGATTTTATCGAAGTGGAATTCATTACCAGCCGAAGTGGCATAAATTTTAAGACTTTAATTTTGGGAGGTCCGCAGAAAACAGAGCCAAGTTGTTCTATGTCAATGCTTCTCTCCGCATACGGTCTGTTTGTTTATCAGGTGAGTATCAAACTCTATCTGGCAAATCTTGAGTTAATACATCCCATTAGGCAGGGTTCGTAACTGAACGTACCTCTTGTCCTGTGTTTTTATCTGTGTGTGTGTGCGTTTTGGGGGAAATTATTTTTTATGGCGTGCAGAGAGCCGTATAATATTTCCTCGCGGGCCTGACCCCTGGCGTGATGAGAACATCCTAATAGCAACCGTTACAGACGTGTCAACATTCTGATACCCACGCTAAACGTCCGACCGGAACCTTAAAAACTTTGAATGCACTTCCTTGGAGTACACTTTTTTATGATCTGAAGTGGACTGTACACGTTAATTCCAGTGTTTGAAAATCTCAAGGTAACATTTGGTGTCTGAAACGCACTCTTAATCATCCTTTGATTGATACAAAAGCACTGCTTATAAAACCATGATTCGACGTGTTCTCGAATATCCGTCCCAGGTATGGAGCCCTCATACAACTGCAAATTTTGAGAAGTGAGAAATAGTGCAGAGATAGGTATTGCGAGAAACGAATCTTCGGCGTCACGGTACGAGAAAGCCCTACTAGAGTTCCTATCGCTCAAGGCGCCTTACAGCGAGGCTACAGCTTTTGTGTGTTCTACTGAATCCCGATTTTAACATTGATGCTTCGGGATATTCAACGCCACGACTGGTCCGAGCTACACGAAGCTTGCACAATGGGGCGCTGGTTTTGTATAGTTGTCGTGCTGTTTCCTTCAAATTTAATTTTTTTTTTCCTCGAAAAATCGAAGAGTAGAACAGCCTTTCTAAAGTACCCATAAACTATCCAGCAGTCCAATTATTTTTAAAACACTGGTATGCTGTCCGTGAAACAGTTTAATGTTTTCGTTCTTTCGTTTTTATGCTTGTTGCTTTATTATATTATTAAACCTTATTCACTATATTTCACTATTTTCTTGTATAATTGCTTGTGCAGTAAAATGTTCCAATATCTCCTACCACTACCTCCAAATGGAGGCCTAATAGTATTTATAATTAAAAATATATTGGGTCGTTATGTTATTCTAATAATAGGGGCTTTTTGCAAACCGTCACCGTGTTCCGCGTATACAGACTACCGGAGACTTTTAAATAAGTTTTTCTGCGTGCGCACGGGTCATACTGTGACCGCGAGGAGCGCGCTTAAGAGCATGCTTCAAAGGTTCCGGTAGTGCAGTACGCGACACACGGTAACGATTTGCCAAAAGGTCCCCAATAGCTTCTGGCCCGGGAATGGACACTCGCCTGCGTGGCGGGATGCAGTCCCGCTGGGGACAGCGGGTGCTGAGGCAGCCCGGCCCCGCTGCTGCTGCTGCTCACGACTCCCGTGCTGCTGCTCGGCACGGTGGACGTCGTGAGCGGAGACAGATCTGAGGACCGCACATTGCCGTCGTAGCTGAGCGGGTTGTCGTGGTCGTCGAGCAGGTGGTGTGCCGGTACCACCTCCGGCCCACCGGGCCGGTGCAGCTGCGGGATCAGGTGGAGCCAGAGGGACAGGCGGTGCGCGTGGTAGTGGTCCTTCACCTTAGGCTTCATACCTGCGGTGGAGCACAAGAACCCTAGTCAGACATAAAAGATTTACCGATGCCGCTTTTAACTGGGACCTGAATCTGCAGATCGTTGCGACTGCAGGATGTCCCCGTTGATCTACCTGGCAATGAACGCCATGTACTGCTGAAAATGCCGCAACAATTTCCTCAGTCATTCTGAATTAGACATCGATCCTCTGCGATAGGTATGTCCCGCCGTTCGAAAGCGCGGCGGATTCCTTCACTTTAATTGTGGCACAGCATAGCCACGCAAGCGAGATTCACAGCACTACCCGCTAACATCACCACTAAAGAAAAAAAAAAAAATGTTACCTCAAGGTTTTTTGGGTTTCTTTTTCGATTCAGCATTGCAAATCAGAGTCGAAAAACTTCTTATAAACAAGCTGTACCCATGAAAATGTAGCATGTGGCCACGCAGCTAAGTAACTCTATGACATTTAGCGTAGGTTACTTATCCGTCCAGTGTGCCAAGGGCAAAGAGAAAGGTTGGGTTATGGTAATAAATTATACTGCGCAACTGAATAATGTTTCAAAAATAAAATTTAACTCTGTGTTGCCACATTGATTCTTGCAGTTTATTTCATGCTTTATCAATGTTCGGACGATGCAAGAATGCTCTAGAGTAATAGTAATGCCGTAAATTAAAGACCCGTTGAAAAGGTTCTCTATGTATCAATTTGATCCTCTCTACGGGAGTTAGAAGGGGAGATGCCACATTCGCACGGGTAAGCGTGGTCTCGCGAATTAGCCTACGTAATGTACACTCTTAGAAAAAAGGGTCAGTATAGTCCTCCCTAAAGGGAGGAACGCTCTTGACACATATGTTCCTTCAGAAAGGGAGAAACTTTCGTCCCTTAAGCAGGGGAGGAAAAGTTCCTCCGTCGACTGCATCTCATTATGGCGGCCACGAATCGAGCAAATCGAGCTCGGTAAGGCTTAACGAGAACACGAAGTCTATTGCACGAAGCGAGAGGAGCAGGAAATAAAAACGTAACACGAGCTTTCCGCGAACTGTATTTATTTCCGAAGTTTCTTTACCCCTGCAGGTAAAGAAACTTACGTTTCGAAAGCATGCAGTCACTCAGTCTTCTCATCGTCAGCACTGGGATGTTCAACGGAGACAACCGGCACTCAGTTCGCGCACTCTATGTCCTACCTTTGCTATTCCTCGAGCCACAATTCCTTCGTCAACCGTTGCGTCAATCGCACACCACGGAGGAGTGAAAATCATTCGCCCGCAAAACCAAAAGTTGCTCTCAAAAAAAAGCAAATCCGAAGCAACCTCTCGGCTTATCTCAGCACGGTAACACGGAAATTATGGCGTAGCCGCGTAGCGTAAAAGGATGTTAAATCGCTTGCCACCAGATGGCAGGGGCGCTAGGTGGCGCTAGATACCGCCTAATTCATGTTTTACAAAAAAATATTTTTATTTCTTTACGCCACAATTGCGTTTCCTTTTCTTCGGAATCTCTAACACATGTAGACACGTTGCGCACACAAGAAACATCAGGTCAAGATATATTGAACGCATACACAGGCATCGCACATACAAACATTAATACAACAGCACACTACCCCAATCACTACTACCGAGCCCTGCGTTTCCGTCTTTTATAGTGGTCATTTTGAACGTACGGAATTTTTCGGTGACACCCTAAGCAAAAAAAAAAATATTCCGAACATGTTCCTTTTTTTCCAGCAATGTCATACATCTGAGGCTATTTTTAATGGCTCAGGGGATGAATCTCTTATTAAAAAGAAGACGCTCGATCATGCCGTAATTATTTGAAAGCCAATAAATCGAGGCGCTCCAATGTGGTTCCAAGCCATGAGTTTGTTTTCCCACATGGCCCTTCGTAGCCAGTATTTATATTGTAGTGTTCGTTTTTCTATTTGTGCTATTCGCGCAAAGCTGCAATTGCCGTCTTGAATTAATCTCTGTAGAGCGGATATCCACTCAGCTGGAAGTGATGCTTCACGGGCACAGAAATCGCTTTTCGATCAACTTGAATGCAGTCAAAGCCGCGACTTGCGACAACTGTTAAGTGTACGGAGCTGCGCCGTTGCGAGCTCGAAAACTTCGAGCGCTCATCCCAGCGCGCCACTTAGAGGGCAGTTTCTGCAGAAACCGTAATATATTTAAACAGTAAAATAAAGGATAGCGTTTTCGGTTTTTTTTTCGATTTTGCCTGTCTTTTTTTTTTTTATGATAAACTTCCATTATAAATATACGTACTTTCCGTCATACTTTCGTAGTGTTGTCTTTTCCCCAGAGCGCAATCGCTCTCGGGGACCGACAGTCACATTGGCCACTGTATGATAGGAGTTTACCGTTCAGACCAGCGTTCCAACATGACTATCCACACGTCGATCGACTGCACCTAGTCCCTCAAGTGGTTTTAAACTCTTTAATGTAAAGCGGAATGTTAAACTGCAACACTCGGCCTCCTCCGATCACGGCCCGACCAGCGGCATCAATGCCCGACAGTTTACGTCATCTCATCTTGTTGTTACACCACTGATAAGCGAACACACGGTCACATCGGCGATAATTCCAGTCTTCTGTTCACAACCCACAACACTGCCATCACGATGTCGCTGACACGAAGAAATACAGAACCACGTTGACGATGTTGCTGACACGCAGAAGAATCACGTTGAACGCCGGTTGGCACTCGGCACGGGACAACGGAACCGAACTCAGCACGGAAGGCATCCAGGCAGCCGGCAGGAAAACCTGCCTTCCTTGGACGCAGTTCCCGCGATTTCCATAACGTCGAAAACGTCGACACAGTTCCTCGTGGTTTCGCTGCTGTAGTTCCGCGTGTGTCCCGCAAATTGGAGACGGCCGTCTTACCCAGTGTATGTAGCGCTGCTGGCACTGCTCCGGAACTTCGCTGTTTCTAGCGGCTTCGTTAGCTCGTTTGATAAAATTAGTGGTAAAAACGTCAATGCAACCGAAATGTTCTGCACGTTTGGACTAGAAGACAGAATTACAGGCGGCCTTCGCTGCCGCTGAAGCTCAATCAACTCAACATTAATTTATTAAACAACGTGCGCGATGTGCTCGAAAAACGAAACCGAAAGAAGATGGGTCGGGAGGGCGAAAGCTTTCTCCGGTCTGCCTGGAGGAGGAAAACGTCTCGGAGAATAATAAGGACTTTAATTTTCCTTTCATCGGTCTGGGTTTGTTTATGTGTGTTTTGGTAAACAAAAAAAAAAAAAAAAAAAAAAAAACTTTACAAAAAAAAAATAAGTAAAAAAACCCACTTTTCTGGGGATCGAACCGTTGACCACTTGGTCAGTAGCGCGATGCCCTACCCCTGCGCCAACTGAACAAGGAGGAACTCGCCCTCCTCCTTTCATCTGAACTGCCGTTCCTCCCTCCTCTGGGCAACTTGTCCGCAACAAGGAGGAACAGTCGCTTTTGCTACCTTTCTCCTCCCTTTTTTCTTAGAGTGTAGTGTCACCTGTTCGTCGGCAGCAGCGGCACCACACGATCCTACAGACCGGATAAGAGTGTGTGGTCAAGAGCAAAACAAATACATTAGTCGGTGACAGGTCGAGAACAAAGTCCTCCCACGCCTTCTGCTTCAGCGGAGCGAACGGTGGCTTTCCAGCGTTGCAATACTAAAATGAAAAGAGGTGGGAGGAGCTTACACTTCCTTTTTGACCTGTACTCTACTCCGCTATAAACGGGACACCATACCCGCCTTTTTTTTTTTTCTAAATTCACGGCATATGCTTTGAACTTCACTGTAAGCGCGCCTATTTTCAGTTTCGACATCAACCGCGCAAACAGCATGACTCCACCTCGCCTCCTCGTTGTCGCCTCTTCTCCTTTCCTGTTTTCGGGAGATTAATGTACTGAAGACAACGATGCCGGCAGTGACAAGAGCCAGCAGAGCGTGGGAGTGTCGATCCTGACCGAGGCGATGAGCATGCTCTAAGCCTCTGTCCAAGGACGCGCAAGCGGAAGGATGTTTTCTCCTCCCCCGTTAAGAAAAACAGGCAAAAGCTGACCGCAATACGAAATACCGTATTTACTCGAGTAATAGCCGCACTGTTTATGAAGCAAACCCGAGGGTTCGCTTTTCCGCGGAGCACGCGGATTGCCAATCACCGCGATCGACAGCATGACTCCAGTGGTTTACAGGACAGAAATATCGTCTTCGCGCGTAAATTCTATCAACGAAGATTGCATTTGTATGGAGAATCGTGTTCTAGATCTGATTATTCGCTATGTTATTTATGCGCAAGGCGATTATTGGCTTTATACGTGCCTTGTGGGAAAGTAGAAGCAAGGGCCTTGGTTCATAAATAGTCCGGCTATTACTCGAGTGAATACGGTATGCCATACATTAAACAAACAAAAACAAAAAAACACAAAAAAAAACAAAAAAAAAAACACAAAAAAATCTTTTTTTTTTTTAGCTGTGAGGAAACAGGCCATCTGCTGTGTTCTTTTTGGACAGGTTTTTAGACCGCGCTCCTATAGCACCAAATCCTCGCTTTTCAGAGCGAACACCATGCTACTGAGAACCGTGCTGAGAACTCATGCGCCTCGCGCTGTCGACGCTCTCGCGCTTCCGTCTTGCGCCGACAGAGGGGGCTGCCGCCGACGCACCCAGATACCCTATTCCCCGGGACAGCAGAGACTGCTGTGAACGCTGCTTCGAAGTCTGTCGCCAACGGCAGATGGCGGCAGCCACCCAGTTCAAAGAGAAAACGTCGAGGCTTCTTTCGTCCGGCTGTTTTTACTGCGCAAAGGCTGTTGGCTCCAAAGCCATTGCATTTTTTTCGGAGTGAGATATATTTTCTGTAGCTGTTGCAAGATGAAGAATTTAGAAGACACTAGTCACACCTCTCTCTACTTTAGCAGAGCGACGCTGGAGAGGAGGCTCGCTCTGCTAAAGTGCACGATGCTCAGAGAGGAGTCTCCACTGAACTCTTAACCTGTCACCGACTATAGGTAAGCCTATAGTGGA